GCATTCCTAGCAATCTTCACACAGAGAGAGTTCTGGAATGGTGGTAGGATCTTCCCCAAATGCACCCTCCTTATGAGCAGATCTTTCTGGGCTTAAAAACCTCGTTTTGGATTCTTGGGTATAGGTGTACACCCACGTTCCCAGAGGACTTGGCAGTTTTTAAGAGGCTTCCAGCCTGCAGGAGTTCATCTAAGCCCTGCAGTAGTGGAGGGACCTTGGTGGAATTAGACCCTAAATGAATGTAGTAGCTTGCGTGGCGTTGTGATTCAAACCCTACAAGGTACTTATCTCACTGTGCCTCAACTTCAGCCTCTGTTAAATGGGGTAATGCTATTGTCTCATAGGGTCTCTATAAGGATTAAGTGTTAATATAAGTAAAGCGCCTAGGACAAACTCCTTTATCCCTACTTAGCTATCCTTTGGTAGAGTTGCAGGGGAGCTTGGAATAACTGACATTTCAATTATTCTGCCATCTCAGTTTGGGGTCAAAAATTATTGCTATCATAATTATAATTACTATCCCCATTTCCCAGATAAAGAAATGGAAGCCCAGGGAGCTGAAGATCTTTTCCAGTATTCTCACTGGGAGTCTCTCCTCCACCTTGAGGATGAAGCCAAGGATAAGCTCATATTCCTCTAGACACTGGCCTTCTGGCACCCCCATGCTGAGTTTCCCACCCTACCCCTGTACCTCACTCAGGCATTTGGTCCTTTGGAGATCTACCACCCGTGCTTTGTTTGGTCCAGTGGCCTGGGCTCCTTACTGGTTTCCTGGCTTCCGTAACTCCATTTCTAGGACCCTCAACCCAGTGATCAGATCACTCCCCTGCTCAAAGTTCAGCATTTCCCCAGTGCTAATAGATCAGCTCTATATTCTTGTTCCAGGCAGTCAGCATCCTGATCTGGCCCCCGCCCGCTGTCCTCCATCTTTATACACACACATTTTACATGCTAGGATACACAACTCTGGACTGCTGAGAATTCCCAGAATGAGCCAGGTCTTTTGTATCTCAGATGAGACTGCACATGTTGTTCTCTGCCATGTTCGGAACATTTCCTTTCCTGTCTTCTGTGCGCCCCCCACACACCCCAACACACATACACTCCCTTTCTCTCCCTCCCCTTCCTCTAAATATTTGTTTGCCTGGAAAATTCCTTCTCATTCTTCAAGTCTTAGACCAAAGGAAGCCAAAGCGCCCCCAGCACAGTTATACTCTCCTTGCCGAGTGCTCCTGAAACAATTCCCCGCCCAGTACTCTCTGTGTCACCTCCCTGCCCAGTGCTCCCTGAATCTGTACATTCTCCGTCACAGGACGACTGCACTGTGTGCTAACCAGTTACATGTCAATGTCCTCACCAAACTCTGCTTTCCTTGTCAGCAGGGATGGAGTGTTTTTTGTCTATACCTGAGGCAAGCCCAGGGCCTCAACTTGCAGGAGGTCTTTAGTAAACATTGGTCAAATGAATGACAGCACAAATGAAGGAATGATTCCCTTACCACGACTTGCCCTGGTCAGACAGAGATGGCATAGGCTTAGGGACCCAGGAGTGAGTTATTAAACAGAGCCACCAAACTTTGGGGTAATTCAGTCTCAAACCATTACTCTATCGAGGATAACGACGTGAGGCTAGGAGAAGGGAGACAATGGCCCAAAGCCACACAAGTTAGTGTAGAGATAGAACTCAAGCCTAGGCTTCCCAGCTTTTGACCTTAGACTAATTTCACTATCCAGCTCGAAAGATATTTGAAGCTGCTCTAAATAACTGTCTGGGAGTCTCCACTGGCAGCCAGTTCTGTCCTTCAGCTCCTGATTCTCCTCATTCCCAGATGAGAGAATAGCTGCAAACTCGCCAAGCCTCAGCTGCCACATCTGTCTAATGGGGGAAATCTGTGGAGACTCTCGGGGCTGCAGGGAAGACTCAGGGAGATCCAGATGCACAGAGATGGCGGGGGCATCTCGAATCTCAGCTCTGCCTCTTGTGTGACCTAGAACCAGGGATTTTTCCTCTCTGAGCTTCATTTCCTCATCTGTCATATGGACAATATGAACTGTACCTGGTATGCCTAGTGGTGAGGATTAAAACAATCAGACATGCTGGGCACTGAACACAACTGAGCACAGAGTAGGTACACAATAAATGCTGATTGTCATCAGCATCATCGTTTCCCCAGAGGCTTTTCTGCATTTCTCTTCCCCTCTCTCCACCAGAGCTGCTTCCTGTTGGTGACCTTTGGTTAGGCCGATAAGGTAATTCCTGCTCCTGGCTTGAAGGTACCACCCAGAGGTTTTCTGAATACCCTCTCGCTTTAACCCCCAAAGTTCAGTAGAAAGGAAATTATGAAGTGGATGAGGAAGTTAATGTTTGGACGTGCTGTCTCCACCTCCATCACACCTCCTCGAGTTCTCCCTCCAGCCCTCAGTGTCTGCATGGATTTTTTCCCATTAGACAGATGTGGCAACTGAGGCTCACTGAGTTTGGCCGCAGCCATTCTCTAATCTAGAAATGAGGAAAATCAGCAAGAGGCTAGCTCCTCTAAGCCCTAGCCTTTTGACCTCAGGCAAGTCAACTGGCCTCCTGAGCCTTAGTCCCTTCATCTGTAAAATAGGTAAATTGTCTCTAATGTGCTAGTCTAGTGCTGGCAGAGGAGGAGAGCCAACACGAGGACCAGAGTCCTCCTGTCATGGAAAGAAGAGACCCCATGAGCCAGCCAGTGGCTCCTGGAGATGGCCGGGCCCCTTCTCTCAGGCTGTGAAGGGGGCAAGAGGGAACAAGTCACAGCTGCCTCCCCTCCCTGTCCTTGAGGAAACCCCGAACCAGAGGCCTGAGTGTTTACAGCCTCTTTGGGCAAAAGATGGGTTACGTAATGCCAGATGTTTGTGAAACTGGCTCGGGCCCAGAACTGAGACACACTTTGCAATCCCAGAGCCCCTCGCAGGCCCTCCTTCCTCTCCCCTCCCCGCCAACCTGGCTCCCCTTGGCCTGGTTGCTGACGGGGAGTTTTCAACTGCATAGGTTACTCAATCACCCCTCACCCTAGAAGTGGGAAATCCCACTCACTTGCAGATGCCAGCGAGTGCTCAGTACTCTGCTTTTATCTCCTTTTTCACGTGGACCCTCATTCTCAGGTCCCACTCTCTCTTCTTTGACTAACACCAACCTCTTCCCTCTCCTCCCCCTCTCTCCCCACCCCTACCCCTCCCATCCCACAGGAGCCAGCCTACCCTTTGCCACCTGAGGACCCCCAGAGACAGCAGGAACGGATTGAACAGCGTGGGACGGTCACCGGGCATCCGCCAGGAGGTCACCAGTCGGCCCTTGAGCGGGCTCCCAGCCTTGCCCTCTGCTGGTCTCTTGTCTGCCTGTCAAACAGGGTCCAGTGTTGGCCCACAGGTCTCTTTGGCAGGATGGGGAGTCCCTGACTACAGCCTCCCCTGCCCATTCTTCCACGCCCACCTCAAAGGCCCAGGGTTCCCATCTTCCTTCTCTCACAGAGCTACGGAGAACAGAGCTTGTTACCTTGTTCACACTATATGGTGTTTGCCTGACAGGGCTCTTGGGGCTCAGCACCGATGGGGACATGATCTTCACCACCTTAAAGTCAAACCCCAGGTGGCCAGCAGGCTATAGATGTGTGTTCAGCCCGCACAGGGTTTTCAGATTATTTTACATTAGGTTCTATTGTTAAATAAGCAAGAGATTTAACATATAACTACATATTTCCAGCTTCTCTTGAAATATCTAAAGATGTGGGAACTCAGGGTCCCTCTTCTCCATGGCAACAGCCATTTGGAGCCAAGAGGTCATACGAGGCCCCCCGCCCCATCCCAAATCCCCCATCTGCCTCACCTTTGTGAAAGGAATGAATCACAGGCACCTGGAGCCACACAACCCCTTCCCCACAGGCCCACAAATGTACCCACTTTGGAGGAAATAGGCTCCAGCCAAGCAGAGGCATTTGCCCAAAGTCAAAGAGCAGATAGAGGTAGGACAGAGATCAGGTGTCCTGACTCTCTGGAACCCAGCGATTCACCAGAGGCGGAACATGAAGCATCAAAGCATAGGTCCAAGGCTTTGGGAATGACTGCCCCACCCTGCCACCACATCCCCCATCACAGCTCTGACCACTAGACCACGAGCTCCAAGCTAGTGCTCTAATTCACCTCTGCCCACACTCAGGCATGCAGAAGGTGCTCCCTAAGTGTATGTGAATGAATGAACGAATGAGGTAGTTATCAATTCTGTCCAGCCCAGGCTGCCTGGGGATAGATCGAGACGTTTCCTGTGCTACTGGTATAGGCTCATTTTGTGGAGACTAGAGGGGACCCCTATATTATTATTTCCTCTTTGTTCATGAAACCCTGGCTCCAGGAAGTATGAAGAAATAACCCAGAAAGAGGAAGAGCAAAGTTGTCGGAGCCCCTGTGAGAGCTGGAAGTGCCTTTAGTGATCAGGCCCTGTCCCCTCCCATTTCACAGATGGGAAGACTGGCCCTCAAGCACTTGGAACACTGGTGCTGCTGCTGCTGCTGTGCAAAGCCACACAGGGAATCAGGGCAGGGCCAGGAAGTAGGGAGCAGAGAGAACACTGGGTGAGGGTCCCAAGACCCAGTTCTAGTTTGAGTCTAGCCACTGACTGGCTGTGTGACCTGGGACAACACCCCTGCCCCTTCTTTCCTCATGTACACAGTGAGGGCTTGGGCAGAATCCCCCTGACTCTGACTAGTGGCAGGGCCAGAGCTGGAGGCTCCAGGCTGCCAGACAGATGCCGTCCGTCACACCCAGCTTCTCAGAAGGTGTCATGGGGAACAGCAGAATAACAGCAGGATAAGGAAAGCATAGCCCCAAACAGCCTGTCTCCTTCCCCCTGCTTCTGGCTGCCCCAGGCCCTCGGCTCTGAGCTCACCTCTCTGGAGGCTGAGGGTGATGAGAACAGTCTGTTTGGCAGGTCGTAGGGAGGGGCGGGGCAGAGCAATGCACTCCAGCTGCAGCCAGGCCTGAGCAGCTTCAGTGGGTCCCACTGCCTGCATACATCTCTCTTGCCCCAAGACCCTGGAGACTGTCCAGGTCCTGCTGACTGTAGCACCTCCTCAACCCTCTTCAGTACTTCTCTAGCTCCAGCTCCTAGAAGCTCAACTCTTTCTCCCAGCCTGGCCAGCCCTCCAGAACCAGAAGGGACCTTGCCTTCAGAGACTATCAGGGCCAAACTGCCATTTGCAAGGAAGGCATTCTAGCTAACCTTTTCAAGGCATTCTAGTAAGTTAAAAACAGAGCCCTGGGCTATGACCCCACCTAGGCCTCTCAGCCAGAAGGTGGCTCTGCTACCCAGCTCCACTAGAGCCCTTCTTCTCAAGGCCCCATCATGTATACAGATGACCCCATGGCAGAGCCCACTTTGGTCTGGATGACCCCAGAGCTCATCCGAGGTCCTCAGCCCACCTCCAATCTGATTTCCTTCCCTTCCCCTCCCCATGGGCTCACACCCAAGACCCAACTACCGAGTCTGCCTGCTTCTGGTCAGTCACTGAGTCTTGGCCTCCTCTTGGTTCTGACTCCTCAGGCTCCTCTGATTGGAACTGGAGATAAGAAAGAACACATCTTAGTCCATGTTATTTCCATTTCCATTTATCTATCCACCTTCGTATCTATCCATTCATCCTCTATCCATCCAACATCCATCTGGCATCCAACATCGATAGATCTGCATATCCATCTATCCATTCAGCATCCATCTGACATTATCTGTCCACTCATCTATCCAACATGCATTATCCCATTTATACATCCATCCTCTACTCATCATCTGTCCATCCATCTTACATCCATGTATCCTTCTTCAATCTATCCAACATCCATTCATCCATCACCCATCTACCCATCCAATGTTCATTCACCATTCATCATCCATATTCCACAACATTTACCCATCCATGCAACATCCATATATCCATAGTCTACCCAACATTCATCCATCCATCCATTCATCACCCTATTCATCACTTTGTCCAGCATATATCACCTATCCGTCACCCATTAACACAACCATCATCTATCATTGATCCATCATCTACCCAGTGACCCTCCCATTTTCCATTGGTTTCTTGCATGCATTTAAGCCTCTATGTATTCACTGATCAACCATCCACTGAGCTGAGTTCTTCCTTGGGTCAGGCCCTGGGCCAGGGGCCAGAGGTATAGAGACAGAGTAGGCACCGCTTCTGCCTCCATTGAGCTGGTGTTTCTTAATGACAACTAGATGTGACCAGATGGAGTAGCAGAACCACCAAGCCCAGAAGGGAGACATCACCAACCTGGGGGTGGGGTAAATATTCAGGGAAGGCGTCTTAGAACAGGGTACCTGATCTAAGACTTGAATTCATAATAAGCAGGCATTTGGTGAATGAAGAGGGAAGGGAAGAGCATCCTGGGCAAGGGGAACAGCATGTGCAAGGGCAGGGGGATGTGCTTACAGAGCTCTCCAGCCAGCTCAGCATAACCAGAGGGCTAATCTGAGGTGGAAGGAAGGCAAGGAGGCCTTGAATGCCATGCCAAGGATTTTCATAGAGGGTGAGCAGCTGGAGCCCCAGCAGGACCCAGTCAGTGCCTCTGCCGTCATTCATGAAATACCCTTAAGCCCTTCCCCAGGTGCCACCTCCTAACCTCCCAGAGACCTGAGCCTTACCATGTAATAAATCTAGCTGAAGAATCTTTCAACCCTCCTTCTTCCCTTTGACCCAGCCAGCCTGCAGCATCCCAGCATTTAGTGGCATCTCACTCTCCCCGGGCTGCCTGTGGTCCACCTGCCTCCCTAACAAGCCTGAGAGCATCTTCTTGTTTAGGGACCCCCAAAGCCCCACTTTGTTGTAAGGGCAGGACCTAGTTGGCTCATCCCTGCATCTCTGGTGTCTGTGCATTGACTTAATTAGAAAGCAAATGGATAAAAGCCATAGGGAAATACAGGGGAGGGGGCTCTGTAGTCCTGCCATGGGCTCTGAGGCCTCACAACACGGTAGTTAAAAGCTTGGGCTTTGGAGCCGACATCGTGATCTTATTTCTCATGACTTATACAGGTGTAATCCCCAGCAAATGCTTAACGGGTCTGAGCCTTGTAAAGGCAGAGCATGTAAAGCACTGGGCCCAGGGCCTGGCACACCACAAACCCTCCTGTCATCCATGGGGGAGGCGGCGCTGGACTGCACATCGAGGAGAGGAGGTGGGTTAGATGAATGAGCAGGAGCCCCACTTCATCCCAGTGGTGGCTGTCAGGGAAGCAGTTGGTCCTACCACACAGGAGAAGACCAGGGCCAGGAGAAGCTGGGAGTCCAGAACTACATGCTGCATTCCCAGGAAGCCGAGGCAGCCTGCAGGTCTCTGGCCTCCAGGACCCTCCCCACCCACCACCTTCAGATAAATGCTCCAAGCAGCACCAGAGTGCCACCGACTCTGTGACTCTGCACTGGGCCAAGGAGGCAGGGAAGGGACTCGGTGGGTCCTCATTTAAACAGCCTGTCTCAGCAGCCAACTCAAACCAGTGAGCATTTACGCAACCTCTTCTCTGTGCCTGAAAGAAGCTGTGGGGGTCAGAGGGGGTACGTGAGGCCATCCTGGACTTTGAGGAACTTGGAATACTGCAGGGGGAGGGGACACGACCACACTGGCTGCAGTCCCAGCCAGGGTCAGGCATGAGCCACCAGAGGCAACACAAACCAGGTACAGTGGGGCTGGGAGCAGAGAAGGCCCTGCCAGAGCATCCTGATTGAGGCCTCGGGGTGATCTTCACCGAGCAGAACTGGGGTCCACCCTCGCCCCAGGTGTGTAATCTTGAACAAGTGACTTAATATCTGTCTCAGTTTCCTTATTTGTAAATTGACAGTGCCTTTCTCATCAGGTTGCTATGAAAATTAAGTGAGGAAAATACTCATAAAACATCCAGGCCAGGGCTTAGCATATAGTTAAAGCTCACGGAAGTGTTGGTCGTTATCACTGCTGTCCACTTTGGTGGCTGGCAAAGGTTTCTGTCAGAAGAGAGGAGTAGGGCTGAGCTTTGGAGAGTGTGCAGGAGCTGAGAGGAGGCCTTTCTAAGGACACTTGTCTGGGGTGCGGCCGCCTGTTGGGCTTCCCCTCAGAAGTGAGGCTGACTTACCTCCCACACTGATGAGCTGGGGCCCTGTGCAGAGCTCCTGCTCCCCAGATGGCCCTGCTCCTCAGGACCAGCCATTATTGAGGTCTCTGGTCCACTCGTCACTTTGGTCTTTGGCCACTGGGTGGAGGTGCAGGCAGGGCTGGGTGGCTGGGCCACGCTCTGGGGCCACTGGCCGGGGCCGTGTCCATTGACTAGGACGGGCTCCGTCCAGCCTTCGGGCTGGCTGTGTTGCTCTTGTTTCAAGGCATCCTTTGTGCCTGGGGAAGCCAGCTCTGGCCCTGAAGCTGTGGTTGGGCTACCCCAGTGTCCAGCTGGGTCCTTTCTGGGTAGCTGGGCCTGCAGGAGCTCCAGGAGGCCTTCCCAGTTGAGCCTTGGAAGATAGGAAGTGAGCGTTGGCTCCTCCCTGCAAGCCGAGGCCCCCACTCTGGGTACCCCGAGAAAGCTTAGCAAGTCCCTCCAGTCAAGCCCAGGTCGCCTCTCAGGGCCATGCAGGTGCGGGCATGCTCCCTCCGTTCCCCAGCCCACAGCAGTGGGTGTCTCAGGCTTCCAGGATTTCGAGAACTCTGCTGG